CTGCAGATATAGTCTAGTTTGATAAACCTGGGTTGGAAGATGGATAAAAGATTGGTGTTTATGTGTTTAGTAGAAAATTTGAATAGAAAGCTCCTGTTCTCACAGGGAAGCCTCAAGTGAGAAGGAAAGCTGAGGCTACATGTTCATGTTCTGCATTGCAAAGATGCTGTAGTGATGCCTGGCTTGGTACACGAAGCCTGTCTGAGCATTGAGAGACAGAACAGCAGGCAGAACCCTTAGTACCAGAGTCCCAGGAGAGGGAGTGAGAGAGTGTGGGCTTACTGTATCAAAGTGAGATAGGAGGGGAAAAGATCATGATACATCTTGTATGTGTATATGCAACATATGTACTTTCTTCACTGGTCCTTTGAGATAACGATTGTAAGAACATTTTAGGGAGTTTAGCTAAGTTACTCCATTGAATGGCTGCCTCTGCACCCATTTTGTTTGGCCAAGTGGCCTGTGAGGTTGCCTTAAACTGACTCCTCATGTAAAAGTCACAGGCAAATGTAAGTACCTGATATGACTTCTTCAATGGCCCTTGTGATCAAGTCTTCCTCGTCTCCTAGGACCTTCATCTGTGCACCCCTTAGGTAAGACCCCTATAGTGCTTACCAAAACTCTACTCTTTGAACCAACCCATCTGGCCTTAGCCCAGGAATCCCAAAGCACTTTACCCACAGACCCTAATAAAGACATGTGCCCCAGGTCCCATTGTCCTTTCTCTGCCGAAATGAAAGCTTGGACCTCCCTATGTGGCCCCTCAATGCCCATCGTTTACTTCCTCGAGGACCTCTAAGTAATAAACTTCTCTATTTCAATTTCTGTTGTAGTTCTTTATTGAACTATGGCTTACTATCCAGCTCCTGGTGCTCTACTTAACAAATGTTAATTTAACAAAGTCATAAGACTCTTTGAATGAACAAAAATAATCAACATTATTGAGTGCTTTTTACGTGCCACTCACTGTTCCAAGTTCTTCACAAAAAGTAATTAATTTTTTACATACTTCTAAAAACACTCCCTTCGTAAAACCTTTTAGTCTTATATACTATGACAATCAGTTTTAGAGTTTCAAATAAATAAAATAGCTGCATTTCATTAGAAGTCATATTGAAGTGAAAATAATTTAATCCTTATGGTAATACTAGGAGATTGGTAGTATTTTTATCCTAGCTTTTTAGATAAGGAAGCTGAAACATATAAAAGCTAAGCCTGCTCAGCATTTCATAACTGGTGAAATCCTAGAGCTGGGCTTAGAACTCAGATCGTCAGGATCTAGATTGTGTGCTTATGACATCTTTGCAGTGTCACCTCCCTAGGAAGTGCTTAGTACCTTCATTGTTGTTTCTCTTATTATTGTTATTATTATTTTGTATCTTTTTGGTGAATACTCTCTGTGTTTTTATACTTTTAGGAGTTCTATAGCCTTCGTTCCTTAACCAAGTTTGAATTCCTGCCTTCTTTATTGTCACCAGGGCTTTTTATTACCTTTGAAATGAAAGCCAAATCAACAAAGTTCTGTTACATTGCTGCTGCTTGAGTGACTATATTTTAGAACTACCACTATTTTTTTTTCCCTGAACAGCAATCACAGCCAGTTACACTAAAGATATTTGAAAATATCAGTGAAGGTGTTGGGGCAGCAGTGGTGATAGTAGCAGCTCCAGTAGTGGTGACAACAGTGAATGTGGCTGTGTCCATGAATGAGACAGACAGATTTAGTGATGACAGAGGAAATGCTGAGATTTCACATCTCTATTTATTCTAAAACTATTTACTGAACACAGATACTAGGTACTGGAAGTATAGTGGGGAACACTATGAAACAGCTCTAGCCCTCATGTATCTTTCAGCCTCATGGTGAAGGAGGAGCAACAGTTCATGAATAATAATAGGAAACACTGGTCTAGGATTTACTATGTGCCAGACACTTTTCCTAATGCTTTACATTTGTTATTTCACATATTCCACCCAACAATCCTAGGAGGTGGATCTCCAGTTTGGAGATGAGGAAGCCGAACACAGTATGTTAATCTTCCTTAAGATCCCATAGCTAGTCGGTGACTGAGCTGATATTTGAACCCAAGAAGACTCACTTCAGAATTTGGCACCTAAACAGTATCCTAGTCTACTAACAAATGATGAGTCAGTTGACAACTGTAATAAAATCCTCAGAGACAATGGGAGGATGAGCGGGGATTGATCCTGGTCTGGAGGATGAAGTGATGAGGAGAGGTGAAAAGCCAGCTTGGTGAAGGTGAAAAGCCAGCTAGGTGAAGGTGTGTTTGTGCACGTGTGCGTGTGCATGTGTGTGCATGCGTTCACACATATGTGATAGAGTGGGGTGGGTGGCAGAGGAGCTGGAGGAGCATTCCAGGAGTGGGGAGAAGCTTATTTACGGACTTGTTGAGGAACACATCTCTGTAAATATTCAAAGGAAATGGCAGCTTATGATTCTTTTAATGAATATTCACTTTAGGTACAACTCTCAGGTCCTATTTAGTTGCATGGTTCAAAATGATGCTGAGTTTGTACACAGCTTTCAGCCAACTGTTGAGCACATATTTGCAGAGTTTCCTGCTTTATAGTCAGAGGTTTGGGAGTCCTGGAAAGCTAAGTTTATATCCCAGCTTCTTAGTCATGGTCTTTGCTCAATTATTTGGGGTTGTATTTTCTGTTTTTTGGATTAATAGGAAGTACGTTAAAAGTGCATAAACTACAAATATTACTTCAAATCAGTGCAAACATCCTCATACCTGAAGGTTTTCATTGCTTGCAGTTGTCTAGTAACAATCACACCCCTCCAGGTAGACCATTGTTTTAGTTTTGGATCCCATTCCTGAGTCCCAGTGGGTCCTTAAAGAGGAAGCTATACTTTGCTATAGGCAAAGACAGGGGCTGTGGATTCAAGCACTACAAAGACAGGGTCGAGAAATTAAGTGAGAAAGGGAAGGAAGAGGAGGACTGAAACACTGAAATTAATTCTCTGCCCAACTGGGTTCTGATGTAACATTAAAAAAAAACAAAACAGATTAACTAGGAAGCAAATAGAAATTAGATTTTTAGCAAGCTTTTAGCAGTTTCTCAAGTGACACATGTAGTGTTTAGTGTTCCTAATGAGTTGCACTACAATTATTTTTACACTTTTGGACATCTGTGGAGTGGTAAATGTGTTCCTAAATATTAGATATAATTACAAGAAAATATGTTTATATAAATTTATTTGGTACCAGGTTCTGACTAGTTTTATTTTAATCAGGGTTTTAGATTATACATGGCTTTTATTCTTCTCTTCCTTTATCCTCCTTAATTGAGATCTGACTGTGTTAAGTGTCTGAACTTGAGTGGATATACCAGATATCTTTGAACCTTGGTTTCTTGCTCTATAAAAATGAGGCCAACACCCCTGTCACTCAGGATATTTATAAAGATGACATAAGATAATGTGCAGCAAAGTGACTCATGTGAGGGTCGGGTACAGGATAGATGCCCAAATCTTTTTAATTTTCTCCTTTCCTCTGTCCCTTCCTTCATTCTTACCTGCCTGCCTGCCCTTTTCTCTATCTTCTTCCCTTTATCCCCTCTTGGCAGTGGAGTGGAAAGTAAGGAGACCAAGTCTCAGATCTGCTACTCAGAGGCTGGTGAGCTTGACTTAATCTCTCTGCTCCTTAGTTTTCTCATTGGCAAAATGAGAGAATTTATTAAATAGGTCACCCAGGAGCCGTGTAAATTATCAAATCCTACATTTCAGTTTTTCTTTGATTCTCAAATTATGCATAAAAATATTAGACTGTTTTGTAATATTAGTTGTTTCTGTTTTTGCCTGTCCGAAAGAAGGTTGTGATTCTCTCTCTGCCCCTGTAAGCCTGGGAAAGATTTCCACAAATACAGCTCGACTAAATCTGTAGGTTTCCAGCTGAGTAGCAGAATCCAGGCTGCTGAATGTGGATGAGCTTCTGTTAGCACCATGTTATTTGATTGTGTAGCTGTAGTACTAGGAAGAGACTGAACCAATATTCATGAGGTGGGACGGTGACTTGGACTTTAGAACCAGTTCTCCTGGAGGATTTAGATGATTATTTTTTGGTTTTCTTCCTTGGAAAAAGGAATTGCCGTGTATGGTAGGATGAATAATGTTACCTGCCCTCATGCCCCTCCCCCCTCAAAAAAAAAAAAAAGATGTCCATGTTCTAATGCTTGGAACCTGTGAACATGTTAATTTACATGACACAGGGCCTTTGTAAATATGATTGAGTTAAAGATTTTGAGGTCAGGAGATTATCCTGGATGATCCAGTGAGGCCAATAATATCATAAGAGTCTTTATAAGAAGGAGCCAGAAAGGTCAAAGAAAATGATAACGTGATGATAGAATTATAGAATGAGAGAGAGGTTTGGTGATGTGACATTGATGACTTTGAAGATGAAGGATGTGTCCACAAGCCAGGGAATGCAGATAGCTTTTAGAATCTGGGAAAGATGAGGAAATGGACTCTCTCCTAGTGTTTCCAGAAGAAACACAGCTCTGCTAACACCTTGATTTTAGCCTGTAAGATCTATTTTAGACTTATGAACAACAAAATGGTACAGTAATAAGTTTGTATTGTTTTAGGCCATTATGCTTGTAGCAATTTGGTGCATTAACCATAAGAAACTAATTCATCATGGCTAGCAATGTATAAACTCTACATTTTAAGACATTTATTCTTCCTCCAAATAAGTCTGGATGAACTCTAAGGATCGGAGAATAATTTTATCTACGACAGCTAGGTAGTTGGAGAAAGGACTTGGTGAGCAGGGATGACCTAGACCTTTCAACACCTTGAGGTGAGAAAGCTTCGAAATTTCTACTTACTATGGGGTCCCAGGTGGGCTACAGCAGAAGGTTTTATTCAAGGGAGTTACTGATTTACTGAAGTGGAAATTAGTTAGAATTGGTCTATTGCCTATTTGGTAATCTCATTAGTTTTTCAACTTTAACTCTATTTCCTCTTCCAGCTCTAGGAATGTGACCAAGATTACCACCAGGAAGGCCAATGATTGTTAAATGAGATGGTATGTAGACATTTACTATTCTATTGAATTATTCTATATCTCCTTTCCCTAGTCCTACTTTTCTATAAAGTTCATTATGATTTCTCAACCTCAATAAATGTAGGGTAGGTGTTAGCAACAGGGTGCCCCTTTGGTGGAGCAATAGGAAGGGGTCATGGACGAATATGTGGCAATGGATGGACAATGGGTAGTTCTCAATGAAGCTTTTCCTCTCTAGGTTTCAGTCCAATTTTGCTATAAGTTAAGAGGGACCCTTTTGTTAGGCAAGGTCTGGGAAGTTGACTCTGAGCCAGAGATTTGTGTGCAGGAAATTTATTGAAGAGTCTTTTAAGAACAACACTTGTTTGGGAAGCATGATTAGGCAGGATAATTGAACTGTGATTCAGTTGTAACAGAAGCCTAAGCTGATCCTTCATGAAGCTTAAAAAGCCTTCCAAATATGTCCTGAATTAAGGTGAAGGAACTGGGCCTTTCAATCTCCATATTGACCAGTCACTGGATGTGCGGCTGCCCCAGGGGAGTTTGCTTAATTTGGGGTGAGACAGCTCTCTTATCCTGAGGGTATTACCCTAAGAGAAACTCAGCTGTGACCCATGGGCAGCCAACACATCAAGGCAGCTGGGGAAATGAGCACTTCAGTCCTGAAACAGGGACCTGGATGGTGCACCAGAGCTATTCTATAGACTAGTGAATGAGTATATGGTGAAAGGGAAAACAGAGAAGCAAGATCAGCACCAGCTAGAGCACTCGATTGGATTCCAGAAAGGTCGACTTACAGATTCTCTGCCATTGGCTTAGCCAGTTACTTGCTTAATTACTTGGTTCCACTTTACAGTAATGATCTTTTTCATTGCTTCTTCATCCCTGTCAGGGTGAAGAATAGAGAATTAGATAGTTGAAAATCAAAGATAAGCCTTATACTAAATCTCAAATTTTAGCCTTGTTGAAAAACACTTCCACATACCTTGTCACATTCACCTTCTTTGACCATTTTCATCTCTGCCTTTCTTTGTCTATATTGTCCTGATGAAATAGTACGAAGCAAAGTAATTGTGCAAAGTTAGTAGCAGAAAGGAAAATTGACACAATTAAAGAACTTAGATTCAATGTGACATAGGTTTATGGAACTTCTACTGGGTCCAGACCAAATATATATTTTTGTCAAATATTTATTTTATATGATAGAAAATACATAAAGTAATCTTTTTAAAGTAAAGTAGGCAGCAAGGTTGGACTGATGGCATGTTAAAAAAGGCAGAAGTGTCTCTTTGGAAGCTTTTTCTCCCTGTAAGTTATTCTTAGTGTGTTGCTGTGAGGTTGAGGAAAAATCCATTCTCTCCTATAGCTTAAATAACATTTGAGAACTGAAGGTAGATTCTAGTTTAATTATGTAAAGTTACCAGTCTTTCTACATGTTTATTCATTTCTTGTCACCCCAGTTGTTAGCCTTTCTTTTTATTTTCATCTCACTTCTGTATTTTACAAATATCAGCCTCATCCACTGTATCTTTATTATTAATTCATTTAAATTCTGTTACAAAGAGATCAAGCATTTATTTCTTTTTGAACATTTACTTCCCTACAAGCTTGGAAATATTTGACTGACAGCAACGGCAACCCCTATGGAGCCTGTGTAAACATGAGTTTACAGGCTGCTGTGCAGGCACCTTTGATGATTTACTTTCTGGTTATTGAGATTTATTTATTTTTTGATGAACTGGTAAATTATGAGGCTGTGGACCTTGCCAGGTTTCCAGGTATCAACTCAAAAAGCCTTGCTGGAAAAACTGTGGTTGGCACTGCAACATAGAGAATGACCAATGATGCATCATATATTTTTAATAGATATAATGTTTTAATAAACATTCTCCTCCTAAAGCAATGGATTTTAAAATAGGCTTTTGCCTTGAGCCATGTAGCTACCCAGCTGTGAGTTTTATAAGGCAACAATCTCCACATCATTAGATGTTATGACTAATATTCCAGCAACTGAAATAATAGCTATTTACATGCACATAAAAAGTTAAAATGACATTTAAGATACACTTACACTCAGAAAAGTGTGCTTGTAAAAGTGGTGCCACAAGTTCTTCATTTACTTTTCCCTATTGACTTATCTTGTAAAGGTCCCTTGCAAAGCAAAAGTAGCTTAGAAAGCTTTTCCCAGACTGACACCTGGGACCTCTCCAACTTTTAGAGCAAGGTAAAATTGCCCCACCTCCACTCTCATCACCCATTAGTGTTTAGGCTTCATGAAGATTTCTGCTGATTTTATTGGCTCATGGGTTCACGGTCTTGCAGGTGCTTTTGATGTTTTCACTTCATGTTACCATTTTGCTCTTTTATTGGTTTCTGTATGAGATCTACTCACATCAAACATTTGATGAGTTTTTTGTGGGCTTTACTAAAAATTTGGAAGACTCTGACAAATCACTTTGTGCACCTTACGACCTTCTGCCATTTTTCTGGCTCACTTGCTTCCTTCCTGGCTTGCCCTCTGCCCACCTTCTCACTATTTCTCTCCTTGTCTTATTCAGAGCACAGTCCGACCTCCCTGAGATCTAATTTCCCCAAACAAATAGTCTGTGCCAATTATAAAAGTATTTTTCCCATTTTATTACATGACCTAAGACTTTTATTTTCTATTACTACTAATTATTTTGCTCACAGACATGCACTGATTATGTGGCCATGGAAGGGGAGTTTTTCCTGAACTGTCCCCTGATGTTTCCTCTTCTGGATAGGAGAAGGAAGTAAGAAAGAAAGGGTAGCACTAGCAAGAAGTTTAGTACGGACAATTTTTGGAGGGGAAATGCTGGTGTTTTGGTTTCCTCTCTCTAGTGCTATATCAGAATGTTTAATCAAGAAAAGAGATTTACTTCTTCAGTTTAACTGGCTCAGCCCCAGAAATGTGCAATTCAGTCTCATCTTTAATCAATAAATCTCTGTCATTTAAATGACAACTGAGGGGCTTCGTTCTCTCTCCCTTGCTATTTTGGCCCATCACATAGAAACTTTGGCCTTTTGGAAATACCGATTAGAGTAATTTTTCCTTTCCTCTCCAGTTCTGTCTCATGTCTTGCTGTAGAATATTTGTGTCCCTGTCAAACTCATGTGTTTAGTCTTTATGCCCAATGTGATGGTGTTCAGAGGTGGGGCTTTGAGAGGTGATTAGGTGATAAGGGAATGAGAGTTCCCTCACCCCTTTCTCATGTTAAGGCACAGCAAGAAGTCTGTGACTTGGAAGAGGGCCCTCCCCTGACCATGCTGGCACCCTGATCTCAGACTTCCAGCCTCCAGAACTGTGAGAAATAAATTTTTGTTGTTTATAAGCCATCTAGTCTGTGGTATTTTGTTAATAGCAGCCTAAGTGACCTATCCTACCAGAAGAATAAACTGTGCATATTTGGCTCAGCCTCTGCCATTTCCTTTAAATAAAATATTTAAATATAGCATAAGTATCTGATTGGATTATGATGATGTCAAGGGTAATTTATTTCCTAAACTTAATCTAGTTTTAGTTATATAATTTAGAAGACTGGACTTGATATAAAGAACTGAATTTTATTTAAAAACCAAGTTTATAAAATAAAAACTTCAGTAGATTTTTCTATATCATTTCTTTCCTTTTTCATAGTATTTAAAAGATGCAGCTATTTTATCCATCCCTGGATAATGAAGAATAAGTATCAGTGGCTATCTCAAGCTTCTTCAAAGCTTTTATCAACCTCGAACTATAATTTTGGGTGCTTTTAGGATCATGTTGTCTTTTTAGGGTCCTTGTAAATTGAGCGAGTCTGACTGGATCATCTTCCAACCTGTTGTACATTCTAATTTAAATTTAAATTTAAGAGTCCTTTATGTAGTCCGACTCTTCTCCCTTCCCTATGATATATGGAAATTGTTTGAAGAACTGAGATTGAATCTCCCTTATCCCATATCCCCTGTGTAGCTTTGCCTATAATAGCTGATCAATATTCTTTGTAGAGTGAACTCTTCCTCTCTAAATTTGATAAGGGAGCATTAGCCTCTGAAAATGTTTCACACAGTTGTCTATTTAGTACAGCAGAAAATATAGACTGATCTTCAAATCTCCATACCCTTATACTGAAGCCATCTTATATTGAGTATCCAAGAATTTTTGACTTCCTTAATTATAACAGTGAGTGTCACTGCACCCATCCCTTGTTCCTTAGTCATTTAAAATTGTTAAGGCATTTTAAAGAGATGTTTTTCTTAATTCTCTATAGTTTTATTAATATTGATGAAACAGCATTAAAAAGTTACTTGAAGAGAAAACAAGAAATTGGGCCAGTAGGTACCAAGAAAATAGAGTTTCCATCTTGCCAGCATGTAACTCTCCTATGAGAGTTGCTTCACATATGAGAAGAGGTATTTCTTATGATTTGATTTTCTCTCCCACCTTATATTTAGGAATCTCTGGATTCAATAGAATTATAGAATCATCCTGGCATATGCTTTCTTCTTCACTGTTTTGATACTGAAAAAGAATACTACATTGCCTAGCACAATATTTGCGCAGTGTGCCTGCAGCTCCAGCTATGTCTTGAAAGACTTTTTGTGGGTTATGACATTCCCCTAAATGTGCTGAGCTTTCTTTAACCTTTCATAAAACATTGTGATTTTTATGGACTGTATCATATTGTGCAGTAATGTGCTTTATTGTCCACAGAATAAGCTTTTCTTAAAGATAATTGGAAAGCTAGAAATGGCTGCTATCGGCTGATTTTTAAAAAATACATTATTTCTGAAATGGGGCTGGTGTAATAATGACCCTATCTGTTCAAGATTTAAGATTTGTCTTGGCAGAGAAAATTGATCCATTTCACCTTTGTCTAATGGAAATTTTTATCTAGGATTATCTGTTTATGTAAATGAATGTTCCTCTGAAAAGGGAACTTGAGGGGCTATAAATCTTGGTGACACCTCAGTTTCATAGGGGAGAAATTGGAAAGGATTCTAGTATTTATCTGCCTGAA